TAGAATAGAATAGAATAGAATAGAATAGAATAGAATAGAATAGAATAAAAAAACAGAGTTGGAAGGGATCTTGGAGGTCTTCTAGTCCAACCCCCTGCTTAGGCAGGAAACCCTACACCACTTCAGACAAATGGTTATCCAACATCTTTTTAAAAACTTCCAGTGTTGGAGCATTCACAACTTCTGGAGGCAAGTTTTTCCAGTGGTTAATTGTTCTATTGTCAGGAAATTTCTCCTTAGTTCTAAGTTGCTTCTCTCCTTGATTAGTTTCCACCCATTGCTTCTTGTCCTTCAGGTGCTCTTCCCATCAGCGTCTTCATGCTGTCTAAAAAAACATCAGCCCACACGTGCCTACAGACCCTTTTTATGTCTCTGACTTTGAAAGATGAAAAGGTTTTTGGTGACTAACTTGGGGGAGGATGGATCTGCCCACCTACTGCGTCAACGCCTACTAAACTTTGTTCTAAAATGCTAGTTGACTTTCATCCTTTCTAGTGTCTGTCACATCTTTTGTTGTGGTTGCGGGTGAGAAATGTGCAGTCTAGCCTTGGATGGAGATAAAAAGACACACAGAGAGAGACAGTTGCTTTGGGATTTAGGAAATTGCACTTTCGTGATTTGCTACATCTAGCTTCCTCTGTCGATTAAAAGAGATAAGTTAATGCACCATAAATGTTTGGGATGAGGCAGGCTACCGATGAGAGCAGAATTCCCTGGAAAAGTACGAAAGAACCGCATTTCTTGAGAAAGTTGCTTCTTTTTTTACTTTTTTTTCATGGGTTGGATTTGAGTCCTTCCAACAGAGCAGATCAATGTAACTTAATGGAAGAGAGGTACATTCATACGGAGTTCTGGTTCATCGTGGTCCAACTCGCCCTTTACCTTCTGCAGATCATCAAGAGCTGGAAAATAGGACAGAGACTTTATTGGCCTTTATTGACTTTATTGTTGCACTGGTTAATTGTTCTCACAGTCAGGAAATTTCTTCTTAGTTCTAGGTTGTTTCTCTTGTTGATTAGTTTCCATCCATTGCTTCCTCTCCTGCCTTCTGGTGCTTTGGAGAATAGCTTGACTCCCTCTTCTTTGGGGCAACCCCTGAGATATTGGAAGACTGGTATCATGTCACCCCTACTTCTTCTTTTCATCAAACTAGACATACCCAATTGGAGCAACTATTATTTATATGTTTTAGCCTCCAGTTCCCTAATCATCTTTGCTGCTCTTCTCTGCACTCTTTCTAGAATCTCAACATCTTTTTGTTTGCATGAGTCAGAAAGAGGACTGTGAAAATATCTACAGACCCCTCACATCCCAGACATAAACTGTTTCAACTCCTTCCCTCAAAATGACGCTATAGAGCCCTGCACACCAGAACAACTAGACACAAGGAGAGTTTTTCCTGAAAGCCATCGCTCTGCTAAACAAATAATTCCCTCAACACTGTCCAACTGTTTACTAAGTCTGCATTACTATTACTATTAATCCTGCCATCCTTCCTTTCACCCTCCCACTCATGACTGTATGTATCCTAACAATTTGTATTGACTGTTTCCTAGTATGATTTGATTGCTTATTGTACTACCCTATGACTATTATTGTTGTACCTGATGATTCTTGACTCTTGACGAGTCATTCTTGATGAATGTATGTTTTCTTTTATGTACACTGAGAGCATTTGCACCAAGACAAATTCCTTGTGTATCCAATCACACATGGCCAATAAAGAATTCTATTCTATTCTATTCTATTCTATTCTATTCTATTCTATTCTATTCTATTCTATTCTATTCTATTCTATATATTGTGGTGACCAAAACAGGATGCAGTATTCCAAGTGTGGCCTTACCAAGACATTATAAAATGGTATTAACACTTCATGTGATCTTGATTCTATCCCTATGTGGGTGCAAACTCAACGTTTTGTGTTGAGTGTGTATGAAGATTCCCAGTCATTTAGATCATGGTTGTCCCAAAGGTTCACAGAAAGACTAGTTGTATTTTGAAAAGCACCTTTGGGATGTTCTGTGTCATATCTCAATTTCCTTCCTCACTTATTACCGGGATCAACTTATCCATCCATCTGATTTCAGCGAGACGAGGAGAAAGAAATCCTCCATCTCTTTGATGGAGCTCTGTCAATCTCCTGGAATCCCTGAATTATACATAACTGCTCATCACAGATGAATTGATAGCCGGGACTCTTTGCGCTTAAGACCGAGAACAAATTATTATTTCTACATGCTCAGATCTGGCAAATTGTTTTGGTTGGAAACCAGAATAAAAATATTGGACCCTTTTGCTGGATTTCCTTTAAATCAAAATGCAACGGGGAAGAGGTGTGTGTCTGCATTTAAGTACTAGTGGTATCCGTTGATAAGATGCCACTCTGAAAGATATAAAACCTTCCATTTCTAACAGGGTTTGGTAACACGGGGTCATTGGCATCTTAGACTGCAAATCCAGTCAACTGTCTCAGGGATAGTCATGCAAGCCAGGGATGGGATGCTAACAGATAACAGATAATCAGAGTTAGAAGGGACCTTGTAAGTCATCTAGTCCAGCCCCCTGCCCAAGCAGGAGACCCTACATCATTTCTGACAGATGGGAGTCCAATCTCTTCTTGAAAGCTTCCAGGGATGAAGCTCCCACAATTTCTGAAGGCAACTTTTGTTCCATGGGTTGATTGTTCTCACCGTCAGAAAGTTTCTCCTTATTTCCAGGTTGAACATCTCCTTGTTCAGTTACCTTTTTTATATGACTTTTGGGGGGTGGGGGCTGTTGCAGTTTCCAAAGGGCATTAAACGAGTGGTCGTTAAGTTGAGGATTACTTGTGAAGCAGCCATTATTCGTTATTATGGCACAAATTGTGAATGTTAGTCATTTGGGGAGATACGTTGTTAGTTGAGGACTGCCTTGTTAGATTCAGTGGATAAGGCAGCCTCCTTTTCCTTCCTACTCCAGTTTTCTTCTAAATGTGCTGCTTCGCATCCCCTCCCCTCCTCCCGTCCCTGGGCTCCATCCCTTCCCTCTCTCTCCTGTTTCTCTGGCTGCCTCAGGGTTAGACTAAAACAGTATGTCTTGGAGAAGAGCCAGGTTGATGTCATGGTTGTTGACATTAGGCTAGAAACCAGGAGACCATGAGTTCTAGTTCCACCTTAGCCAGCTGGTTGATCTTGGGCCAGTCCCTTTCTCTCAACCCCAGGAAGGCATCAATGAAAAAAAAACACACACCAAGAAAACTGGAGGAACTGGTCAAGGCAGCCTTCAAGAATTGGACACAATTGAACAGAACAGAACACAATTTTGAGACGAGAACCTCCTTTTTGTAATGTGTCTTGTATGCTTGTTTCTCTTCTCCAGGTTCCCTCAAAAGCCCAGTGAACAAGACGGCCCTTACCTTAGTTGCTGTGAGCTCTTGCATCCTGGCTATGGTCTGCGGCACCCAGATCTCCTGTCCGCTCACTGTCAAAGTGACCCTTCATGTCCCTGAGCACTTCATTGCTGATGGTAAGAACTTTCTGCTTCTCTGCTTTTTGGTGCAAGGGTGTGGCTTCTCTAAGAGCATGACTTAGTCATCCTTTCTAAGCAGCTGCATCTCTCAAGAACTGTCATGCCCCTGTCGGAGTCTGAATCCGAGTAGGAAGACGGACAGCTTACAGGGAGCGGGAGTGTGGCTCCATTGGCTGTGGAGGAAACTGGGGAAGGGCAAAGTCCAGCTGGGCAGAGCAAGAGAGAGGTAGAACAAGGGAGTTCAGAGGAAGACCCAGACCCACCCCCTCTTCATCCTAGGGCTCGCAGGGAGGAACGGAGAAGAGAGCAACGTGGGTTGCATGGCTTACGGGGAAGGAAAGGGCCCTGATTCCTGTCATTAGCCACAGCTGGGAAGAGAGTTTAAAAGAAATGCATGCTGAGTGCGGCAGCTGCTGGGAAGTCTTATGTCTGATAAGCCAGTGAAGAGTCATCAGTGGCCTGTCCAACATTGTGTGTCACATAGTGGCTGATTAGGAATTAACAAGAATTATGGACAAAAAGCTGATTTGTTCTAATCCACTGTTGTTCCACGAAACCTTTGGGGTTTGTTTGTTTGGTTTTTTTGGTGGGGTGGGTTGTATTAAAGACATGTTATCCTGTAGACTACTTCATACTGATTAGACTCCCAATCCATAATTTATTTTGTTCCTTTTCAAAAAAAAAAAGGTGATATAAATGGGGTCATCATCCTTGGGAGAACCGATTCTGCAGTTTAAACCATGTGCTGATATTTTAATGGTGACATTTGGAAATAATTTTTTTTTTCTTTTCCACCTTGGCATTTGCAAAAGGGCTCCAACGTTGGACCCTTGGCTAATTTGCAGCACAAAAACATCCTTTATTTTGCATGCCTTAGCAAATCCAGACTTGGGTGTTTATTTCTGCTCTTTCTGCCTTGCCCTTTTATTTACGAGATCTCTGAATAATAACTCCTTTGAGTGTGATTGTTAATCGATACCGACGGAGCCAAAAATGGCACAGCTGACCCATGAAATATTCCAATTAAAAGGAGAATGTGGACCTGTTCTATCCTGAACATCAGCCAAGACTCTACATAGATTTAAAGTTCTCCGAATGGATCTGCAAACACATCACCTTACCAGGATAACAGAATAACAGAGTCGGAAGGGACCGTACAGGTCTTCCAGTCCAACCTGCTCAAGAAGGGAACCATATGCTATTTCAGACAAATGGTTATCCAACATCTTTTTAAAAGAAGCTTCTTAGATGAGAAGCGGAAATGTCTTCAAAATTAAAACCAAAAAGTCCAGTTGCCACTTGAAACAGGACCTTTGGGTTATTTCCTACAAAACTTTTTTTCAGATGGAGAAAGAGTCACAGTCGGAATGAGCACAGAGGAAGCAGCAAAACGTAAAGAAAGGAGAACCACATCAAACTCATCCTTTGAGACAATGAGCCATCAATAAAAAAAAAAAATTACAAAAAAAAGGAACCACTTAAAGAAACTTCTACAGCAAAAGCCCATTCTGTTTTTCAAATGATCAGGCAATACCCTTCCATGGCCTTCAGCTGAGCGGGAATCTGTCTTACACACTTTCCCTCCGGAGGGGGAAAAAAAAATGTCTAATCTCAAGTGTCTTTTCCACTTGCCAGACAATGGAGAGACCACTTTTGATGATGGAAGATGGAAGGAGTTCCCAGAAACCACCGCTTCTCTTTATAGCTCCCTGCTTCCAATATTTCTTGAGTTTCTTGACCTTATCTGAACCTGCCTTGCAATGTCTATCAAGTGCAACCTCTCGGAGACCCGAGCAAATTCAATTTTCTTCTTCCACACAGGAACCGAGCTTGAGAAGGCATTAAATTTTTCATCGGGTTCCCTTTCTCTCTCTCTCTCTCTCTCTCTCCTGCTGGTACATTTTCTGCCTCTGATGGGAGGGCAAATCGATGCTTTTTTTCTGGCCTTCTAGAGTGAAAGGATTGGTTTTCTCCAAGCAGATACACATTTTCTTAAAAATGTGTCCCATCATTTCCAGGAAAGCCACAAGCAGAGATCTACATTGTTAATCCAACTGTGGTATATTTTAAGTGAGAATGGAATGGAATGGAATGGAATGGAATAGAATAGAATAGAATAGAATAGAATAGAATAGAATAGAATAGAATAGAATAGAATAGAATAGAATAGGGGAATGGAGTAGAGTGGAGTGGAGTGGAGTAGAGTAGAGTAGAGTAGATTCACTTAACGACCAGGTTAGGTTAGGTTACCACTGCAGTGATTCATGTCACCCTTGTGTCCAGAAAGGTGATAAAATGGGGCAGAATTAGTCTTGCTTAGCAACAGAAAGGGGAAGTGTGAAAAACGGTCGTCACTTGTGCCGTTGTAACTTTGAGAGGTCATTAAATAAGCTGTCGTAAGTTGATGATTACCTGTAGCTTCCATACCCTAATTATTTTGGTCGTTACATTCTAAATTACGCTCCTCCTCAGTGTTGGAATTCAAAATAGTTTACTATCAATTCTATGGCTGCGCGCTTTGCACGTGGAACATTCTAAAACGGGCAGTTGTAAGCATGAAAACTTACCTTTCTGTCAGAGCTGGTGAGTAAAACAGCTGAGGTGGGGCAATCCACTCTGCCCCACCTATCAGCTGAGCTACAAGCAAGGGAAGTATAGGACAGGAAAGCGTGCTGACTGGTGCAACCAGATCGTTAGAACCGTTGCAAACCGGCAGCCATAACACCACTGGTCCTTCTTAAATACAGTGTCCAAAACTGGATAAAACATTGCAGGAAGACCGACTTTGGCATGGCATTAATTATAGCATAAGACATCAAGATTCAGGGTTTATGCCAGCTGGGTCAATGGCGTTTCTTCCATGTTTTCCTGGCCAGAATAAGCCAACATTTCATATTTTCCTTGGCAGCTCAGCCAGCAAACCGCCCCTTCAAAGTTGCTTCTCTTCCCCACAGTTTAGAACTGTATTTTAAGAGTGTCGTTTCAGCGATCATTCTCATTCTTGGTGCCATTTCACTCGGTCCCTCGTGTTTTTCATCTTCCGAAAAGCCATTATGTCTTGATTGGAGACTGCCCCACCTCCTCCCCTCTTCCAAGGGACATTAATCTGTTTTATTGGTATTTCATTGGCAGCTCTGATGGAAATCTTCTGCACCCTGCATAATTTTACTTGCAGAAATTTTTTTTCCCCTCCCTATCCTTCTGATACATGCACAGCTCGATCAAACTTCTTCAGCTTCTGATGTCAACATATATGTACACGAGTCAAAAGAAGGTGATAAATGTATAGCCATAACAGATGGGACGGGCAGTCATCCTTTGGGGCAATAACCGATCATTCTCACTGAGGCTGATAGAAGAGTATGTTTGTAGCTCAGCGTTGAACCTGGTCCTCTCTGACCTGGATGCTTTGCTTACAGGCCTTTCATTACCCAACTAAATAACATCATGAGTCCTAGAAGGCAGTGGGGTTTGCACTGTATTTATATATAGTTCCTTCTAGCACTGATGATGTGACCTAGTTCACTAATGAAATATCTGCAAGAAAACAACACAAATGAGAGAGCACCAAAGACCCCCAATTCTCCTCCTCTCCACACCCCTCCACTCCCTCATAGCACTGATGTTGTTACCTAGGTAGGTAATGAAATGTCTGCAAGAAAACAATCCAGCTCAGATAGCACCAAAACCCCACAATTCTCCTGCTTCTCCACATCCCCCCACTCCCTTGTAGCACTGATGATATTACCTAGTTGGGTAATGAAACATCTGCAAAGAAAGCCTCCAAGCTCAGAGAATACCAAGAACCCTCCAATTCTCCCTAATAATGTTATTTTGGGGATATGTGTCTTGCAAAAAGACAAAAACCGAGCCGAATTAAATGCAAGAGATGAGCTGGTGGACAAGTTATTAAAGACCAAAGTGTTACCAGTTCCCTGGTGTAAATATTTGAGGCATGTTTTCATTGCCTTAATAGGGACAACTGCTTTATCCATATTTTTTTCCGGAAAATTACTTCCTTAAATCTGCCACAATATTTGCAATCTGAACCACTCCCATCCTCTCTTTTCCTTTCCCCCCAGCTTTTTGACTGTTTAAATAGTTTCTAGGTTTGTGCAGCTGCTCCACCAACCTTCCAGGGGCAGTTGGTGGCCATCCCAATGGATGTAGAATTAGGGCAAGCCACGTTTTCGGTGGAGCGCAGCCAGATGTTATCTTGCTTGTCTGTTGACAAGGAAGATTACAGTTGCTCTATCTCCTGACTTCCGTTGAACCAATTCCCAATATATCGTAGCCAGAAGGGCAGTGACTGAAAACTCCGAGCTCACTTGCGCCTCTGAAGCAAATCCAAGTTGGGAAGGCAAAATAGATACACCATTGATCATTCGTTTATTTTATCTTGCTTTCTGTGTGACAGATGGAATCACAAAGGATTAAAAAAAGAAGAAGCAAAATGCACCAGGCATTGAGAAGGGATGGAAAGGGGAAAGAAGAGCAATTTTTTTCTAAAAGCAACGAAAATAGCTTGTAATGGGCTAATACTGGTGTGCATTTTGGACCCGTAAGCCAATGGAAACTGCTGCCATTGTGTTATATGTGTAGTTTGGAGCTGCCTCATTCTCCCTCCTTGGAATCTGTGTCTTAAAAAAGTCAATAAGTGGCTCAACAAAATGTAATTCCCCCACATGCCTTATTTAACTTTCCAGAGATAGAGTAGCTGCCAGTAATAACAGTAATAACATGCACACATACTTTTATCACCTGTTTTATAGAATCATAAGGTTGGAGAAGATCTCGGAGGAAGTCTTCTTCAACCTTATTAGAAGGTCAGAGAAGACCTTCTAGCCCAAGCCAGAAGTTCTCAGATCACCTTGGACAGATGGTTCTCCAATCTTTTCTTGAAAACCTCCAGCAATGGAGATTCAACAGCTTGGGGGAACAAGCTGTGTCACCGCTTGATAGATCTCTTTGGGCCAACTTGGTTTCAGTTCACCAAT